TCTTTTCAATTCTTACTGTCATTTCACTAGAAGTTTCAACTAGCAACTCAAGCACCCCTCGCGCAACGTTAGCCTCGTTTGTTGCATCCCGCTGCGTTACGTGTCCGCAAAAGGACACCAAATCAATTGACATTCCACGCGGACCAAGATATATTAGTGCGGGACGACACATCCCCCGCGAATGATGTCAAGCCGACGAAGGTATACGCGCGATTCTCTCCGGCGAGTCGCTCGAGTCTCCTCTTCGTCACCTGCCGTGCCCCACCATTAGCTATGCGCGACGCGAAGGCGTCACTTCCTCCGGCCGCGGCTTCCGGTCGCCGGAAACGTCCTTCTAACCGCGGCTGAATCCTTAAATGAAAACGATCTCTCTTTCTCTCCCTCTCTCTTTCACGAGATCCTCGCCCCCTTGTCTCTCCCTCGCGCACGCACGATCGCCGATCGCGAACGATACATGGAGACAAATCGTTGTTGGGCACATCGTTGCATAATCCATTCGTCGAGTGCGGGCGCGCATGTATGCGCGTGTGTACGCTTTGGGAAAGGGGAGAGGTTCTTTTCGCTTCTCTTTCTACATCTTTCCCGACGAATGTTAAGAAATTACCGGATGTATATCATGCCGTAAGGCCTGACAAGGTGTCTTCGGGCTTCGCTTAATAAATAACGCCTGCAAATTGCTTTCCCTCGGAGAGACGCATAAATATCTCGATATGTTCGCGCGCGGGGCATGTAGTGTTCGGTGACGTTAAAATTACCTCATTATGGAGTCGTGCTCGGCGCGCTCTTCCCTCGCCATGGCGGCAATATCATGGGACAGCATGAACGCGCAGAAACGAGTTAAAAATGTATATCACGTCGGGAGAAAAAATGCCATCTCGAAATTTCCAGCCTCGGCTACGCGATGGGACGCGTTTACTGCTGATAGACGGCGACATCTTCAACGACTTCGTCGTCCCGACAATGTCCTCGTGGTCGCGATGTGTCCTTCAGGATGGCCCGCTCTTTTCTTTCTTTTCTTTTAAGAGTAGGCGTGGACCCTCCCGAACTTGGCTTTCCCATTACTTTAGAGGAAGAGTGTCCTGCTGGAGCAGGATACTCTTTCAAGGAAAAAAGAAGTTACTTGTGACAGGAAGAATCTGGGTGTAGTTGAGAAAGCCCGTATCAATAGTCGTTGCTTAAAACTTGTTCCACATAAGACATCTAAATATGAATTTAGAGCTAAATTTTTTACTTTGAATCATTTAATATGCGACATTATATTTATAATGATAGCGATTCAGCTGAAAAATTCACATCTAACTCCAAATTCAAATCTGAGTATTTCACTGGAAACAAGTTTCAATACGAGCCTAACTATTTCACACGAAACATGTTTCAGGTGACAATTATTAACGCGGGCCTGAATTTGGAACATATGGATATCCAAAAATATAGCTAGCCAGTAGGTATACATTTAACTATGAAACTGATGTAGCAGCAACAGCAGCAGAAGTCTTAGTTACACCAACAAATCCATTTTCAGGAAACTATAATTAGCTGCGACGGTGAAGTCTTTTTTTTCCGTGATACAAAGATCACTGTTCGATTGTCGCACGTCTCATGCTCGTCTGATCTCTACAACGCAAGCTCTCTTGTTCTCGGCAGCAATCGATACGGCTTGACGAACGAGGACCTGAATCGACGCTGGAGCAATCCTAACCAGGTGTATCATCCGGTGATCTATCACACGAAGGGCCTGATGGAGTACTGCGCGAAGGTGCTGCAGCGGCCACCCCACGTTTTCGTCGACTATCACGGCCATTCGCGAAGGAAGAACGTGTTTCTGTTTGGTTGCTCAAGGTCGGGTTCCTGGAGCGCCGCGGACAGGGCGAAACCGGACCAGCCGGTGCAGTATTTGGTAAGGGAAGACGAAAGGGAGTCGACCAGGTGATATATTCTTAGGTCTCTCTCGTCCCCGGTATCACAACTCATCCTATATTTATTGGCCACCGGGCCGGCCGCGCGGACGTTTATCACTTTCAGCGACTACCCTTTCAACGCGCGCGTGTAATTAACCCTTACAATCCGACCGGTTTTTTGGGTGACTCTCTCTTTTGCAGTCTTTGAACCGAAACTTTTTCATGTACGTCAAAAGATAGACTAATGAAAAACATGCCGCGCCACTATAGCGGATCGTATGGTAACTATTTTTCCAAATTGAATTTCTTTCTTATTTAATCGCACGGAAACCTCCTTTTTGTAATAGGAATCGTGGAAGAACATACTTATTTTTGACAAAATTATACAGTTTGACGGTAAAATAAAATCATACATGTAGATTGAATCACCAAATCATCAGACACTCTGTATATGACAGTAATAAAAAATTCAGAGAAAAAGTTCATTTGTGAATTTTGTCCATATATAATATTGTTATTTACATAAATTTCCAAGTATATTACTAATAAAATATAAAAAATGTGTATGGTATAAATATATTTATGTATTTATTTTTCTTTATTTTTTCTTAACAAATTTTTTAAGATTTTATATTTTGTAAGTTTTTTTACTAATTTTTATGGAAAAAAAATAATATAATAAGAACAAGAAGAAGAATTGTATTTCACAGAATTACTGCCGCGCCACTATAGTGGCGGATTGTAAGGTTGACAGCCGCGATGATTCAATTTCTCGTAGACCACTTCACGCTTGATAACGTCCCGCGATCAAGGTGATATCATGCCGAGCTGCGAAAAGCCATGGAATCTATCGGATCTCGTAATCCTTCGATCCTTTCTGTACCAGATGTTACCGCACCTCATGCAGAGGACTTCGCCGGCTTTCGCTTTGCCACTGTGCTCCTTCAAGGTCGAGAGGAACAAGGAATCCACCGCTCGAGTCGCAGTGTGGAGGCAGTTGGGCGTTTCGAGGTAAATGACGGCCACATCCTGGGCAGCGATCTGTGACTCGCAGTGGGATTCCACGTGGCAAGGCCGAGGTTGCATGCGTATCCTCGTAACATCGCAATCTGACCGGCGAGCGATTCTATTTTTTGTTTCTCCTTTTTCTTTGCGGAAACCCTTGGTAACATCGAAATTAAGGGAGTAAAATTGCCTCGTCAGGCCAATAGGGGCAACAATATTAGGGAATTTATTTAAAGGCAATTATTGGTATTGTAGTTGTAATTTCTCGGGTTGGAATTTTTATTTCCAAGTAATTGAATTTTGGCTCATTTTAAAAGAGAAATTGAAATTAGTTGTTATGTTTGCTTGTTTTTATTAAAAAAAGAAAAAGGCAAAACGGAAATGAAAATTCTGGCCTGAGAGATTATAATTATATTTTATAATATTATTTTGTAAAAATTTGTAATATTATTTATTTTGTAAATTTATTTTGTAATATTATTTTGTAAAAAACTTTCTTCGTTTTCTCGATTAGATTATTATCAAGAAAATGTCAATCATGCAAAGCAGGAAGGCATGCAAGAACTGCAAATTCAGAACGACAGTGGATGATGCTATGACATAGTTTCCACACAAAAATAAAAAATAAATTTGTTTAAATGCAAATATATTTACATTTACGAAATTCTCAAACATATTCATTCAGTAGTTTTCTTTAAATAAATTTCCAGATATGGTTGTTTTTCTTGACATGAAAAAGTAATTTGCTCCTTTGAAAACGAAATAAAATATCTGCATTTACAGTTATATCGAAAAGAAAGGAATAGTTACGCTTTTATCTTCTTGATGGCATTGAGACGTTCGTATGTTATGATTAGAAATAAACGCGTGATTCTGTTTGAACAGAAGTTACACGATGGAAAGCAGCTTTTGCGGTTGCGATCAAGGCGCTCTGGCAGGCCTGCACCTCGGCACAGAACACCTGAAAGCCATCGGCAGGAATTTCTCTCGAGCTTTGTCCATGATGAAGGACGCCGGCGATGACTGGGTCGTCGAAAAGTATGTGAAAATCTATTGCAATTCATTCTCCTTGGGATTGCTAAGTTTCGACAATACATACGACTATAAGTATACGAGATTAATTTAAACCAAATATATATTGCTACATGTAAAAAAATGCTGTCGTGTCAATAGAAAAATTGCCGTAGTAATTGGAGTAAATCTTTTTGATTCAACAACAAAACCATTAAAACCAACAGGGAAGAAAATAATTTGCTGCAGCAGCAAACTAATTTGCTACATATGGACAATTAAATATAATTCGCTATGTTAGCTACTTTTTTACTGCAGGAACCTATTTTCTTGCCATTATAACAAGAAAATCTGCTCTTACAGCAAGAAAAGTGGCTAATACAGTAAATTATATTTAGTTGTCTATATGTAGCAGATCTTTTTTTCCGTGAATATATTATATATTGCTTCGATGATTCGAATATTAGTTTCAATGGCATAGCTGTTGAATCAAGAGGATTAATGCTGCAATTCTAAGCAAATATATGAGTAAATTATAAAATCATAAAGTTGTAGTTTACGAAAAAAACAAAAAAACTATAGATATTTACGAGTTATCATGTGATATATGGAATTGCAGATCTACTCATAAGTTCTTACAAGAACAAGTCTTACGAGAACAAGTTACGAGCTTTACGATTTTATCTAGAATTGCAGTATAATTGCCGTAGCAAAAAACTTAACAAAAAAACTTAAACAGTAAGACGTAAGCAGTAAGCAAATTGACCAATCACAGTCGTTGATTCCTCGATAGCCCAAGAATCAACGACTGTGATTGATCAATTTGCTTCCCCACAAAAACATGCACGTTACATCCACGTGGAATCCACGTGATTTCGTGGATTCCACATGAACTCTACATGGATTCGACGTGAATTCGACGTACGTTTTTGTGGGGTTACTGCTTACGTTTTACTGCTTAAGTTTTTCTGTATGCCACTAGGCTAAGGGCCATGGCACACAGAAAAACTTAAGCAGTAAGCAAATTGACCAATCACAGTCGCTGATTTTTCTTACGGTCCAAGAACCAACGACTGTGATTAGTCAATTTGCTTACTGCTTACGTCTTACTGCTTAAGTTTTTCTGTGTGCCGTGGCCCTAAGTCTAATTACGGCGCGATGTTGGCGATTCATATTGACACAACAGCACTTGTTCTCCGTGCATCGAAAAAGAAGGGGAGGACTCGTAAGATTGAGACTTGTGCAATTCGTGACCGTGAGATAAGCGCTTCCTAGAATCGACCGGCAATTATTCCCGAGAGATTCGAGCAAGCCGGTGTGTAGCGTCTCATCGATCGAGGTAGAAAGATTCCCCCCAGAGACTGACTCATTACACGACGCAGATCGATGGAGCAGGCCTGTTGTCCGAGGATGTGCGTCCTACGAAATTCGAGGAAGATCCCGAAATGTATTCAGGATAAACACGCTATACACCACACCACGGCGCTTCCTTAGCGACAGAGATAGCCGGGTAATAACGTTACAAAGGCAAGATTCGTGTAGGGTCTCATCCGTGTGTTTGTCTATGTGTGCAAACGCCATTAACGCTCTCGCTGACTCTTCCTGTGCCCTCTTCGTCGTGCTGGCTCTCCTCGCTGACATTCGAAAATCTTACGCTGTCGTCGGACAAATTAATTAACATACTTACGTCGACGCATCGGTGGCGGCTTTAGTACAAAATTGTGACCATTTAACCTTCTAATCGTGTTTGTTTCGAGTATACTTTGACCATGTTCAGGGTTCAAATAAACCCAATGGTGAGAACTCACTATTTAATTTATATATATATATATATATATATATATATATTTTTTTTTTATTTATATATATATATATATAAATAAAAAAAAATATATATATATATATTGTACCTTACCAACCATATTGAATTTGTGACGTTAAAAGTGAGAAACGACATACTGACGAAAGTTGCGTGCCATTTCTAAATAAAGATACAAGGAGCCTTAAATAAATATTAGTATTCACACCGAATAAATATTGTCTCCTTTTCAAACATTTCTTGTCTCCGTGTAATTAACAACAGACGTATATTACAGCAGATATGTATATATTAGATCTTTTATTTTAGCATTGTGACGAGGCGTTTTCCACTCGTCACGACGACCCGACCGAACATCAGTCGGGTCGTAGAACAGACGCAAAGCGCCAAATATTGGGTTTGGAATATTGGGTTCATGACGTATTTTTTCTATGTTTTTTAAAGGTCATTTATTTATATAAAGAACAAAGATCAATCAATGATATATTGCCCGTTTTGTTCGATAACTTTTTGCCATCTTTCAATGAGCTTCATAATTCCTCGTTTATAGAAGGACCTGTCTTTATCGGCGAAAAATTGAACAAGGTGCTGATTTACAGTCTCATCTGAATTGAACGTTATACCACGCAAGGAGTTTTGAAGAGAGCGAAACAAGTGGAAGTCTGACGGCGCAAGGTCAGGCGAGTATGGTGGGTATGGCAACACATCCCATCCAAGCTCCAATCATTTTTGACGAGTGATCAAACTTGTGTGTGGTCTCGCGTTGTGATGGAACACAACTCCTTTACAATTAACGAGCTCTGGACGTTTCTGGATGATGGATTTGTTCAAACTGTCCAATTGCCGATGATATCGTACACATTACGGGGGATATGGATACCCCGGCGACTACCTGCTAAGAGGACTACCGGAGCTACTAAAAGGCGACAGCCTCCTGTGGTACCGGAATTGCCGAGATGAGTGGGCCAACTGGGAGGACATCGATCGCGCCTTTCGGAGACAGTACCTGTCTCCGAAATACCAGGCACAGCTCTGCAGAGAGGCAACCCGAGCAAAAATTGAATCTAATGATTGTCTAGTAATGACACAGAAAAGTTGGGTCTTACATCGCTAGTAGCTAGTAGTAGTTGCTAGCTACTAGCTAGGAATGTAACGCTCACTTCTCCTAATAGCTGTACTAGAAAAATTAGCTAGTAGCTAGATACAAAAAAATAACTTGTAACTATCTAGCCTGCACTAGACAGTGAATAGATAGCAAAAACGAAAAAATTAATTCTCTTCGATAATTTCCCTTTCTCTCTCTCTCTCTCTCTTTTTAGGGGAGAGGTGATCCAATGGAGTTTGGTTTCCTGTAATTCTTCTTTATTACGTACTATTTCCATTCTATTGGAAAAATTCATTTTATACTTCGGGACTTGAAGACCTTTGGCTCTTGAGTCTGGCACTTTACCTGCTAGACCACTACTATAGTCGGTAGTAAACGTTTTATATTAGCTACATATGGTTTACTCAACGCCGTTTCATCTAATGTCTAGATGAAAAAAATTACACAGTGACGAGATGGAAGATTCAGTAAATCCTGAATAGAAATTGAATATCAAACGCTGTTTAGTAACTGTCTAGTAACAATGTACTGTAAATCCAGAATGAAAATTAGATGTCAAAACTGTCTATCCACTAGATAGAAAATTTGTGTATTACATCGTCATTATTTATACATAAATTTACTATCTAGTGGGTAGACAGTTCTGACATCCAATTTCTATTCAGGATTTATCGATGATTTTCTATCTCGTTATTGTGTAATCTTTTTCGTCTAAGCACTGTCTATGTAAATGATATAGCTACTAAACAGTTCTGATGTCCAATCTCTACTCAGGATATATCGATGATTTTTTATCTCGTTATTGTGTAATCCTTTTCGTCTAATCACTGTTTATGTAATAGGTGTAAGAACTAGATAGTTCTGACGTCCAATTTCTATTCAGGATTTATCGATGATTTTCTATCTCGTTATTGTGTAATTTTTTCATCTAAGCACTGTCTATGTAAATGATATAGCTACTAGACAGTTCTGATATCTAATTTCTATTCAGGATTTACCGATGATTTTCTATCTCGTTACTGTGTAATATTTTTCATCTAGCCACTATTTATATAATTGGTATAGTTACTAGACAGTCCTGACACTCAAAAGACTGAGTAAGAATATTTATCCAGTCACGAGCTAGTGACTACAAAACTTATCTAATCATTACTATCTAGCTACTAGTCTTGAAATCTGCTCTACTAAATATATTTTTGCTCGGGAATGGGACGTGCGCAACGACCAGGCGAGGCCTACGCCAAATATGAGGTAACCGTCGCTGATGCGGAGAGCAGGCGGGTTCCACCCGGAGGACCGTCTACTTCAGATCTACGAGAACATGCTCCCAAAGTACAAACTCTATGTGAGGTTGACCTCACCAAAGACCTACGAGACCGGGCCACCGAATATGAGGTTCTGCGCAAACAGTAGCGCACCCACCGGCCGAAGGGAGGCAGCACGTGCACACCGCCCGACGACAGCCCGTGGTCGTCACCACGTAGCAACGCGAAGGTGCTGTTGGTGCTGTAAGCAGCGAGGTCACCACTCCAGCCAGTGCGCACGACCAGCCAGACTGTCTTGTTTCATCTGTGACAAAGACGGTGTTATAATATGTCACCCACGGAGAAACGAGGTCCGCATCAAGAATGCACCCGCCGCTTCTCGAAGATCCACTACCTTCCCCGGCCGTACCTTGACGTGCGAATAAACCACCGCACGGTCAGAGCTTTGTTAGATACAGGGGCGGAAGTTTCCTGCATCCAGGAAAGGACTCTTAGACGGGTCTGGCCGGAGTACCAAACGACGGGAGAGAGAGTGACGGAAATAACCCTCGCCGACCGTAGCGTTGTCATGCTATCAGGAAAAGTCCGACTCGCGATTCGAGTCGGCGGTTCCCAGATCCGGCATAAGTTCCAGATTCTGGATAGATTAGATACGCCACTAATAATCGGCGTAGACCTGTGGGTCCGCCTCGGCATCACGCTCACACCACCGTGCCAGATGAGCGGCTACGACTCGGACGAAGAAGGAAGGCTGCAACCCTTCCACAGCTCGACGGAGCCGCGCTCGAGCCACCAGCATGCTGCGCGGCACCCAGTATACGAGGACACACGACAACGAGACAACGACGAGACGATGCGACCCGTCACACGGCCAGCCGCACCACGACACGGCACAGGAGACCGGCGACCACCAGCCGACCAGCAGCCGCCAGTCCGGAACGTAAGCATCGCCGCTACCACGGACACAGAAACCGCCGCCAGAGCTAGCACCACCGACGAGGCGGTTCATCGGCCCACAACCACCACCACCATTGAGGCTCGAAATAATCAAGGGCCTCTACGCCGAGGTCTCATATTTCGCCGCCTACGTCTCGCGGCTGTACTCTCGGGTCCGCACCGAGGAGGGCAAATGGATCCTCCGCTTCACCACGGGACGGACAGTTAAGATTCCATCGCTTCGTTCCCAGGTGAACGCCGCTCCTCTCAAAAGAGGTGGGTGATGTGACGAGGCGTTTTCCACTTGTCACGACGACCCGACCGAACATCAGTCGGGTCGTAGGACGGGCGCAAAGCGCCAAATAAATTACTCAATACAGCCACCGGCTCGCGGCGCCACCGATTACTTTCTCAAGAGAGGGCGTACGAAATCACTGCTGGTATATAAGCTGGCGGGTATATAAGCCGAGCACGATAACGATAAGGCAGCAGTCCTCAGGTGTCCACTGCTCAGGGTTGTGCTGTAGATTTCAAAATTACGTCTACATTGATTGTTTACACGTAGTTTACTTAATGTTTACACGGCCTTTTTCCCATGTAGGCAATGTAAGCAATGTAAACTACGTAGACTAGTAAATTTTATTGTTAATTAGTACAATATAAAAGAATTAAATTATAAAACAGTTACCACACTCACATATATTTAAAGGAGAGTTTACAACTTTACTTTGAATCGTAATCCGTAAATAAATTGACCAATCACAGTTATTATTCTTGAAATAATCGACTGTGGTTGGTCAGTTTGCTTTTAAAGCAAGGTTGTCGACTCTCCTTGATGTCAGTTATGTGTATTAATCATAAATATAGTGTTTATAAAAGATAATAAATTGCATCAAGAGTCATGTAGCTCCTATAGGACACGAAATTGTTTGCTGTATGGCGAAAGTTTGCGCAATAGCTGCGCAATAGCCGAAAATTTGCAATCTGCGCAATGGCTGCGTTCAGAACACACAGCTGATCAGTGAGCGGTCAGTGATTATTGGTCCTTACCGTTAGATCCCTAACTTTAGACAATTACGTTGACTAATTACTCAACCGTTGTGCAACAGTTGTGTTTTCTGAAAGCAGGCCTCTCTACGACAGGCGCCCGAACGTGCCCCGTTTAGCTATAAGTTCGCGTTTAGTTGTAAGTTTGCGTTTAAATATAAGTTTGCGCTTAGCTGTAAGAATAGAAGTAAGTCCACGCCTGATACCTTGAATCCGACGTGCTCTTCTCACTCACTCACATACACACACAAACACATAAACCCTCTAAAAAAGGCATATAAGAGATTTAATTGTTGCCGCTTTTTCGCGATGCTGATTGGTTCCCTTCTTAGCTCACTTCATGTGGGCTTGCTTCATGTCGTTTGCGTCAGTCAAATTACCAGGCAAATAGCTGACTTTGCGTTTGTTAGGTCATGAAAAAAAAATATAGAAGAGATATATCTCTCCCTGTCTCTCCCTACCTCTCCTGTCTCTTCCTGTCTCTCCCTGTCTTTCCCTGCCTCTCCTGTCTCTCCCTGTCTCTCCTTATAATTATTGATTAATTAAAATATATTTTAATTTAATTTAATTTTAATTTTATTCTCTATTTAATTTTATTTTTTATTGTTTTTTATTAGCTATATGACGCGCGCGTAGCGCGCGCATGTATTGTTCTAGTATTGCAAAAACTGTGTGAGCTTTAAAACTGCTCTGGATAAAAAAATAAAGGCTAGAAGTGGCTGACTCTTGCTGGCGTGTAGAACGATTAGTTGATGTGAATCAATCGACGAGACATGATTGTTGTGTCTGCTGTTAATTACACGGAGACAAGAAATGTTTAAAAAGGAGACGATATTTATTCGGTGTGAATACTAATGACACATTTATTTAAGGCTCTTTGTATCTTTATTTAGAAATGGCACGTAACTTTCGTCAGTATGTCGTTTCTCACTTCTGACGTCACAAATTCAATATGGTTAGTAAGGTACAAGGTACCTTAAATTCAGAATTTTTGTCTAAACAAAGCAAAAGGGATTAATATGTCAATTCTTTCCCAAATGCACAATAAAATCATTCCTCTGACACGCATATTTCCTTTTGATACAAAAAGTACCAGAATATCTTAGAATCTAACATTAAGTGACTCACCCTGCATATGTGTTTCTACCTGAAGGAAATTTTTTCTTAATGAACAAATATGTATATATTAGTATCCAAATATTTCGAGCAAATATTTCTTCTTTCTTATTTTTTCTCTCAATGTATGTTTGTTATCTTTCAGGATCCCCACAGAGGAGCATATTCCTGAGGAATCGAGATGCATGGAGGACAGAGTGTCCACCAGCAGCGAGTCGGACGAATCCGACTACGAGACTTAGGAAAACCGCGCTTCCGACTGAGTGTGATACACCAAGTCCATCTCCACAACGAAATTCATCATGGTTGTCTAAAATTAGCGATGTATGGATGTAAACGTTAGTTATAATAGTCCTGCAAATTTTCGTTGCAACATGTCGATAGTGATTAGCGCAATAAGCGATACACGGAGAAGTACTTTAAACAATGTTTATTTAAAACTGGTAACAAATGTTTAGAGCTACTAGCTATGAAAATACTATCTATGCCTACGTCTATTTGTACATATTCTCGGAAAATTATTATTGCTTTGCAAATTAAGTTCATAATAAACACGGTTATCTGCTGTAAATCTGGTATGAGAGCCGATTAACTACTTAAGTTGACGTGGCCGCGTGTTAAGTAACGATTAAGTGACTCGGAGAAAGGAAACTTGGAGATTGTGGTCATATCGCGACTATCATCCGAGCAGTGACAAACGATCGGATTCGGAAGGACTCTACACTGAGGAAAAAATTATCTTAAAATCAACAAACAACAAATTTTGATGTGTGCTATTAATACATTTACTTAAATTTAAATTCTCTTCATTTAAATCAAATATTGTTTACCTGATTTAAGTAAACAATATTTGGTTTAAATAAAGAGAATTTAGATTTAAATAAATATGTTAGTGGCATCCATCAAAGAAATATTTATTGATTTTAAGGTAATTTTTCCCTTAGTGTATACTCTTTGGCGAAATTTTGATTATCTCCATGAGAACGAAGATTTCGACACTAAGAAAAGAGAGAAAAGAATCGACAAGGGATTCTCTCGCATCGTACTTCGCTCTCTGTATTCTGTGTACGTAACATATGATTATATCAATCGTAGGAAATAAATGTTGTCGAGTTATAATTTCCCGTGTTCTCTCACCCTCGTCACTTCCCGCAATCGTTCGCACTCCGCAGAGATTCGCCGAGGTCCTTACACGCTTTTACGCGCATCAACGTGTGTCAAATGCTGATCGCGATTTCGTAAAGTTCTGTTGCTGCAAGCGTTTCAAAAGCAGTATACACAGATCACGCGTGTTGCACCGAACAGGATGTCGCGCTTTCATAGAGATCGCCTATGCGCTAAAGATGTGCGAATCAAAGATCTTTTGATATCGAATCGAATCTCAGATTTTAATTTCGAATTCGAATCGAATCGATGAAATTTCACCCGAATCGAATCAAATGGAATGAAATCGAATCGAATCGTTGAGAGAATTTTTAATCAACATAATCATTGAATACAATATGAAAATAGTGACTTCAGTATGAGAGAGATGACATTGATAATGTGATATCAATTTATTTTAGGGTAAGACTACATAATATATAGTCGGTAAATGTGTACAGAATACAGTTCCAGCCTTGAAAGCTGCACAATGACACATTTGGCAGTTTATCTAGAAGCCATTGTCTTTAATATTTTTGAAGAAAATCTTAATGTATAGCAAACTTTTCAAGTCATGCTAATTCCTGTAAGACTGGTTGCCTTTAATAGTACTTCGTTAATGCTAATGTGCGCGATTCGTATTTGAATCTTTTCGATTCGAAATTTTTGAATTATTCGGATTTGAATCACAGGGATTCAAATTTCACTTGATTCGATTCGAATAGTTCGCACATCTCTACTGTGCGCACAACTACACCTGCCAGCAAAACGGAGGCAACTCGTCGCAGTGATCTGTAAGCACAACACTCTTTCAAGTGTTGTGCAAACGAATTTAGGCTTGGTCTACAATATACGGAGTAAGCTTTGTGATATCGCTCGTCTACAATGGGAGTAAAGTATAGTTGAAAGAAATAAGAGTAAGAAATTAACCAATCATAGTTGATTATTCTTCACATTTGACTGTAATTGATGAATTTCTTACTCTTGCTTCTTACAGCCCGTATTGTACTCCCATTGTAAGCGGATCTTAAGAAGTAAGTATAGAAATAAGAAATGAAAGTAATTTATTTCGCTACGTCTATATTCTTTGACTCCCTTATATAACGGAAGTATTTCAGCTAAAGAAACACTTCTGGTGTAAAAATGTTCAAGTACAGGCAGGTATATAAACAAATTATTTTTATTTCTACTCTAACTTTTTACACCAAGCTTACTCCATATATTGTAGACCAAGTCTTACAATCGACTGACTAAAAGTAGTAATTTTTTTCGATAAAAGTTTTGCGACATATTCAATGGAAAAACGTATCTCCTGAGAATAAAATTTTCCTATTGGATATGAAACATATTGCGAAACTTATCAAGAGAAAGTGTCGCTATACTTTTAATCGGCCGACACTCTGTAGTAGATGCAGAATTAATAGATATTTTGGACTGGCTGTGTCCCCTTCTACACACGCATTCGTCATAATTGTCGGAAAAATTTGGAAAATCGGCGAGCTAGCAGAAAAGATTAGAAGACGCGAAGAGGAATTCACACATTGAGCTATTTTGTGTAACAATGGGCGGATTGCAATTCAATTTGCGAGTACGAAATACACCGAGATTTATTCTGAGATTTTTTATACTGCTCTTCTAACGCATGCACTTCTCCGACATTTCTCAAGTAAACGCCTCTAGCGGGAAAATTTAATTTCCGATGAGTAATAACTCAGCAGTCAAGCGTTGTAGTCAGTCGCGTGGAACCTGCGTGCACTAAAACCGTGTGTATCATTTTGGAATCGAGTAATTCGTCATCGAAATTCGGCGATACGCCATATATTGCGCGCGGATATATGTATATATGTATCTCAAAACAACACCTTCGCGTCGTCGGCCTACGTGGATTTGGCAACGGCTGCATTTCATCACGTACAAAATACACCTAATAACACGTGACACCGTGATGATCGAGATACCTTTAACGCGAGCTGCCTGCAGACTAAAATTATTGGTAATGTGGCGTTGAAAAAATTCGTCGAGATCCAGCTACGAGGAAAATTGTGCCCTGTATACACGATGATATCGATACAATATTAATTGACCCAATTGAGATTATACTTTGTACATGTGGATAATTGCGCGCTACACATCGAGACAGAAAGACATCTAAAAAATAACAGAGATATTTATTCGCGGCGAATACTGAGAACATATTTTTACTTTGATCTCTGAACTCCTCTGCTTGAACAGAATAAGCAATTGCTTTTATAATACGGAACGGTTTTAGGAAAATACATATCTTCCGATTTGAAAAATACTTTTCCTCAGCGTGAGCATACACATGAGTACACAAGTAAATATATCATTAGTGCTCATGGAATAAATATTTTTTACTTCTTCGATTTGTTCTATTTGTTCTCTCAGTCTACGCTGAGAAATAAAATACACTCGAGAATTCACTTGTTTACTCCTGTGAAATAAAGTTGACTTCTGTGAATAAACTTTATATCCCACGACTAAATTTTCAAATACACTTTTCTCCACGAATTTGTAGATCGAAGTCAAAGTGACGCGGAGAAGAATCTTTGTCTACGTAGACTACAAGCGAACATGTCGGAATGAATCTGGGTTAACGTTATTGTCTGTTTCGCGCGTTAACGATGCCCTAACGATGTAATCGTCGCGAGGAGTAGCCTACTGTGCTTCAGGCGCGTACAAAGCCGACGTATTGTACAAATACGCCAAGAAAAGTCTGTTGTTATTGTTTCTTGCTACGTGTTTCTTCACGCATGTACGCTTGTGTGTGTGTGTGTGTGTGTGTGTGTGTGTGTGCCGTGCCAGCGGTTCCTTGTTTTTCGCGTGCATATTCGAATGGAAATCAAAACAAATCGAACGTCTTTCTATTTCTCGCTACGCTTCGCTACAGCCGGAATTTTCCAAAGTGGAAATAATTTTTCGTCGATTCACGAGCGACAAATTGTCGACCGTCGCGACAAGTTAACGACCGACGATAAGCGCAGGTGTTCGCGCTACGCTCACATTAACACGAAGCGAGATAAAAGAAGAATGAGATGAAGAAGAAGCAGTAATATGAGAATAGTCGTCGTCATCGCCGACCATAGTGTCGTATCTTATCGTCAAACATACGGTACATGCTCTCTCTCTCTCTCTCTCTCTCTCTCTCTCTCTCTCTCTCT